GTGCGGGCTTTCTCTAGTTGTGGCGAGTGGGAGTTACTCTTTGTTGCGTTGCGCAGGCTTCTCATTGCAGTGGCTTCTCTTGTCGCGGAGCACAGGCTCTAGGAGTGGGGGCTTCAGTAGTTGCGGCATGCAGGCTCAGTAGTTGTGGCTCGTGGGCTCTAGAGCACAGGCTCAGTACTTGTGGCACACGGGCTTAGTTGCTCCGCGGCATGTGGCATCGTCCCGGACCAGGGCTCGAACCCGTGTCCCCTGCATTGGCAGGTGGATTCTTAACCACTGCGCCACCAGGGAAGTCCTTGTCTTTCTTCTTTTTTAATTAAAAAAATTTTTTTTATTGAAGTATAGTCAAGTTACAATGTTGTATTTAGTTTCAGGTATAAAGCAAAGTGATTCAGTTATATAGATATGTATATTCTTTTTCAGATTCTTCTCCATTATAGGTTGTTACAAGATGTTGATTATAACTCCCTGTGCTATACAGTAGGTCTTCGTTATCTATTTTATATATAATATTAATCCAGAACTCCTAATTAATCCCTCTCTTCACCTTTCCTCTTTGGTAACCATAAGTTTGTTTTCTGTGTCTGAGTCTATTTCTGTTTTGTAAATAAGTTCATTTGTATCATTTTTAGATTCCACATATAAGTGATATCATATGATACTTGTCTTTCTCTGACTTATTTCACTTAGTATGATAATCTCTAGGTCCATCCATGTTGTTGCATTCCTTTTTATGGCTGAGTCATATTCCATTGTATATTTGTTCCACATCTTTTTTTTCTTTTTTTTTCTTTTTTTTTGTGGTACGCAGGCCTTTCACTGTTGTGGCCTCTCCCGTTGCGGAGCACAGGCTCCGGACACGCAGGCTCAGAGGCCACGGCTCACGGGCCTAGCCGCTCTGTGGCATGTGGGATCTTCCCGGACCGGGGCACGAACCCGTGTCCCCTGCATCGGCAGGCGGACTCTCAACCACTGCGCCACCAGGGAAGCCCATTCCACATCTTCTTTATCCATTCATCTGTCAATGGACATTTAGGTTGCTTCCGTGTCTTGGCTACTGAAATAATGCTTCAGTGAACATGGAGGTGCATGTATCTTTTCAAATTAGTTTTCATCTTTTACAGATATATGCCCAGGAGTGGGATTGCTAGATCAAAAAATAAAAACTCTATTTTTAGTTTTTAAGGACCACCCATATGGTTCTGCATAGTGGCTGCACCAATTTACATTCCCACCAATAGTGTAGGAGGGTTCCCTTTTCTCCACATCCTCTCTAGCATTATTTGTAGACTTTTTAATGATGGCCATTCTGACTGGTGTGAGGTGATACCTCGTTGTAGTTTTGATTTGCATTTCTCTAATAATTAGCAATGTGGAGCATCATTTCATGTGCCTGTTAGACATCTGTATGTCTTCTTTGGAGAAATGTCTATGTCTTCTGCCCATTTTTTGATTGGGCTGTTTTTTGATATTGAGCTGAATGAGCTGTTTATATATTTTGGAAATTAAGTCCTTGTCATTTGCATTGTTTGCAATTATTTTCTCCCATTCTGTAGGTGGTCTTTTTGTTTTATGGTTTCCTTTCTTGTGCAAAAGCTTGTAAGTTTGATTAGGTCCTATTTGTTTATTTTTGTTTTTGTTTCTATTACTCTAGAAGACGTATCCAAAAAAATACTGCTGTGATTTACTGACACTGTCTTTCTAAAAGTGGGTTTAAGATTAGTACAACTAGCATTAACTCATAGCGCTATACAGAATAAGAAATGCAAAGTGCCTGGCACACAGCAAGGTACTTAGTAGCTATTATCACGGTTATGCCACCTTCTCTCACTTCTAGTGTGGCAGACTCCTTGAGGAGCTGTGTCTTCCTTATGCTTAGCACAGTGCCTGACATAGGATAGTTCTCAAATATAGATTTGTTGACAGATAAATCCACCTATCCATCGGCCATCTAGTCAACATTTATTGAACAACTTCTAATTGCCAGGCACTGTTCTAAAGATGGATCAGTGAACAAAACAGCAAAGGTCTGGCCTCTCAGTGCTTATGTTCTAGTAGGGAAAACAGAGAAGCACATATATAGTTCGACAGGTAGAAAAAAGAGCCGGGTTAAGGGGTTTAGGAAGAGCCAGGGATGGGTGAAGTTGCCCTTTCACATATCACGGAAGGTCTCTCTGAGAAGGTGACATGTGGGTAGACACTTAAAGGAAGTGAGGGAGCAAACCACACAAATGTGCAGAAGGTGTGTTCCAGGCCGAGGGAACGGCAGGTGCAAAGGACGTGAGGCGGGCACAAGTGTGGTGTTTCTGAAGAATGAGAAGCCTGTGTGGCTGGAGCAGGATAAATTAAAGGGCTTTGATATCTTCTTCACTTGATTAAAAATGAGCACACAACACAGTGCAGTAACTGAAAAAGATGTATTAAAATATTCACAAAAATACAATTGAAAAAGAAAAATTAATGAACTTGATGGTTTTTTTTTTTTTTTTTTTTTTTTACCTAGCTGAATACATTTCCATTGAGAAACTACAGATAGATTGAAATTTTAATCTCAAGTAATCCTTTAGGTGCCCCCTTAGAAAAATCATGTGTAGTTTTAAGAGGTCTCATTCTGCCAATAATCAGACATGGAAAGGACAGCCCTGCCATTTGGAAGCAACCCTGCTGTTGTCATCTGTGTCCAGGGATGAGGATGCTGGGACACAGGAGAAAGGGTCAAAAGATCCACAGGAGTTGGTGTGAGGAGTTTTGGAAAAATCCCCAACACTGAGGTGCTCCACCCAGGTGTGAGCGGCTTCCCTCAGACAAATCAGTCACAGACCCAGAGTAAGAAGCTGGCAGCTGACCACCCTTGCCCCGCAGAGGAGGCCACGGGGAGGCAGGGGAGGGAAGGCTCACGGCTGTGGTTAGCAAAAGTAAGGGCTGGTGCTCTGGGTGGCAGCTTCACAAACATGCAGAGAAATCAGGGCTCTTGCTATCGGGAGGTGTGAGGAGGTACGTATAGTAGATTCACTGGACCTCTGCGAAGGGATAAGGGGGATCCCCCTTTCTCTGCCAAAAAACGAGTGTAAGGAAGTTACACATATCAGTGCACACACTTGGTCTCACCACAACGTGTCTTCTTTCCCCCTGAAGTCCCAGATGGCTGTACAATTCTCACAGTGGGAGGGCTCACCAAGAGTATCATCATCCTGGCATCAGCCTGAAGGGTGACATCCCAACACCAACCCCCGCCTTCCCAACACACAAAAATGTCTCCTAAAGGCTCCTGGAGTTTTCACCGTGGAGGCAGAGAAGCTCCAGGGCGCAAGGCAAAGTTGACCACTTTGCAGAACTGTCTCGGGTAGAGCGCTTCGCGTCCCTGTGTCCTGCGCGGGACCTGTGAGCACAGAACAGGCAGACGCAGCAGGGCTGGCAGGTTTTCTTCCCACGCCGCAACACACGCCAGACGCACCAGCTTCGGAGATGGCCGGTATGTTTGATGACACAGCCCGCTCCCCGCTCACGTACATATCAACGGAATGTAAGTTGGAGCATCATGTGAATAACAACAAATAGTCCCTCAGCAAATAAAAGACCACACATATGGGGCAGAGTTCGTTTTGTAGCTCACACACCCTTTCTCTATGTAACCACTTCGTGCACACCTTTAAATGTAAATCCTTCTTTGTTTCCTTAAAACTCAGCCTTCAAACTCCCTCACAGAGATGACAAGACGCGGCAGGGGGCGGGAATGGCAGCTCTTAGGGGTCCTCAAAGTAAATGAGAGAAAAACTAACATTACCTGTCATCCCTACTTACCTGAACACATCCTGGGACCCTATTGTCAGTATTCTTCCTCTAACTGTGGGCTTTCAATTTTAAATGAAAAAAATTATTTTTTAAAAAAATCCAGAAAATGGGGGAATGACAATATAAGTGTTTAATGATTTTCACCATGGTTTTCAGTCTGAGTTAAAAAAACACATAGGTTTGAGATGGGGTATTGGGGGCGGTGGTCAATGGGAGAAAATAAATTGAGAAGGATGCCCAAATTGTCTAGATTTCTCCTCATCTCATTATCAAAAGAACAAAAAACCAGAAAGAGAAGAGATTCCCAACGTAGAGGTACTAGCCTTGTTTGCTGATTTTAAAAATCTAGACCCTTTTTAGCCTCAAAGGCCTTGGAGGCATCATGAATCTATTATAGAAGCCATGACTGATGCTGCCCCTGCTGGAAGCATGACTGAAGCTTTATATAGAAGATTCTCTAGAAAGCGCTCTGCGATACTGGAGACTGGCAATCTAATTATTCCATTTCTGCCTACTTAAAAGGAAATGAAACTCCGCTCCTTCAGGTGTATGGGGACTCTTACTCCAAGTACGAAGGACTTCAGCAAAGAATGTAACACACCTTTGGCTCTCCCAGTGGTACAGTACTCCTCAAGCCAGGCCTGGGTTCTCTACTTCAATTATATATTACGGTATTGATCTAAAAGTACATGGAAGGAAGTGACTTCCGGCACTGATCCTTTGCTAATCTTGCTATGATGAATCCACAAATTGAGACAATACGCTTACAGGGTGTGATGTTATGGTCGACACAACACTGAAAGCTAAAAACTGCCCTGTATTTTAGAGAGCAAAATAGCAACAAAAACTCTCACACTGTCTCCAAGTGGCATAGCGAATGGACGCTTTCTAAAAACAACCGCCAAATAGGTGGTACACCCTGGGCTAAGGGCCACCCTGAACATGCTTCCATCATAGCATCTTCACTCTCCAAGTACAATAAACGCGAAGGCAGGTTAAGCCCTTACGTGAAAAGGCCATGTCTATTAGAATACTAAAGGATCTGCTACCATCTCCATTAAGGCAAACCACATCTAAATGATGGTGATAGGAATGTGTCTGAATTTTCTCAACTGTAAATGACCCTGAAGCGAAGTACAAAAACAGACAATTTACGTATACGTAGAATCATACCATCTCTTCATCATGCAGTACTGGCTCCTCGCATCAGGAAGATTAAATAGAATATTTATACATATTCTTTATACACTTCTTTTTCTCCCTCTATGAATAAACATGTGCTTGTCCGTGTCCAGGTTTCCAAGGCCACACATGGTTATGAGCTACATTTTCTGCACAAGAGTCCAGTTTGGATTTGTTTCTTGCTTAGGATGTGACTGGGGTCTTCTCAATTTTTCCGGATGTCCGCGTACACCACAGACTCTGACTTGTTAATCTTGTCGCTGTGATGTCCGCCAGAGTGGTCTAGCTGCGCATATATGACTGGGCCCTGGAGAAGAGAAGTAGAATTAGAGGTTTGGAAAAACTGGTGGCCCCATTAGGTGCAGGGACAGAAGCAATGATTAAAGGGAATATTGTTAGGGTTCCAGAGCGAAGAGTTCCCTCTTTTGAATGTCTTCAGGTACATATGTTCCTTCTTAGGAACAGTATGTCCAGGACTGACTTTATTTTTTTCCTGGGATTGACTTTAAAACAAGATTGGGGGGCTTCCCTGGTGGCACAGTGGTTGAGTGTCCGCCTGCCGATGCGGGGGACACAGGTTCGTGCCCCGGTCCGGGAAGATCCCACATGCCGCGGAGCGGCTGGGCCCGTGAGCCACGGCCGCTGAGCCTGCGCATCCGGAGCCTGTGTTCAGCAACGGGAGAGGCCACAACAGTGAGAGGCCCACATACCGCAAAAAAAAAACCAAGATTGGGTATACTTGGTAATTGTTCATGCTGGTACATAGAGATTTATTATATTATTCTGTCTACTTTTGTATCTGTTTTAAAATTTCTATAACAATATAATATTCCTTCTCAGGAGTTACCCTTATCTTAATACCTGTCACAGAATTCCTCAACTCTTGTAATTGGGAGTCTTGGGACAAAGATGGGCAGTTCTGTCAACCCGAGACCCACTGAAATCATGACTTTCAGAATGATACAAGAAACCAGCATATTCAGTGCTACTTGAAAATACAATCAATTTGAACTGGTCACTTTATACAAACAGGTACTTAAAAAAACTTCAAATATTCTCCCACGTACCTACTTATACTATAATTCTGTTAGTTTAATCTTATCATAACCAATAAAAATATTGCTTCTTTGATATCTAAGATCAGGTAACCATTTTTCCTGTTTTAAAATTTAAAATAACCCCCAAAGCCACAATCTGCAGAGCTATATGGAAAAGCCCTAAATGGACTAAAGTAGAATAGGTCCTCTTCTCACCCTCGGCAGTAAGGAAGAGAGCTGTCAGGGTCCCACCCGGGACAGCGAGGCAAAGTTGCCTGGGGCAGAGCGAGTCCTCTGACTCTTGGGGAAGGAGGGAAGGCCGAAGGTTCAAATATCAGACAGGTGGCTGTGCTTCACAACCCTTAAAGTCCCTTCCAACCCAGAGATTCTAAAATTGTAAATAGCAACAACAAAATAGGCCTGTATTACGGGTAAAGAAAAGTTAATATAACCTAAAGTCGACTTCTCTCCCAATCCAGGGACTCTCTCTTTGAATAGTCTGCTACTGTGCTTAAGCTTTCAACTTTGAAATCATAAACTCAGTAGCCGAAGTATGTGGTTTAAAATAAACATCCTTGAAACTGTTCTGTATGAATCTGTAATGGTGGATACATGACATACGCATTTGGTGAAACCCACAGAAATGTACAACACAGAGTGAACCTTAACATAAACCACGGACTTTAGTTAATAATAATGTTCTCTATATTAATTCATCAACTGTTAACAAATTACCAAAACAATGCAAGTTGTTAATAATCAGGGAAACTTTGGAGAGGAAGGAGTACATAGGACCTCTCTTTACTTTCTGTTAGATTTTTCTATAAACCTAACACTGCTCTAAGAAATAAAGTCTACTAATAAAAAGAAGAAAAAAATGGAAAAAAATAAACATCCTCACTCCCATCTAGGAGTCCCACAACCTGCATTCTTTAGTGTGTAACGTGGGATCCTGTGGAGTTCAGGCCCCCCAACTTCTACAGAAGGCATATTTTAAAACCCCCAAGCATTAGTTTATCTCTAAAATGGCACTAACAATAGTATTATACGTCTTAAGATGGTTGTGAGAATTAGATGATATCTACAAATAACTTAAGCAGCGTCTGGCAGCACTCAGTACATATTAATCATCATTCTCATGAATATATTGTTATACAAATATACTTGAAAATATACCGAGGTTACCAGTCAAGTAAATCAAGCAGTCAAAGTCAGTGTGTTTGTCTTTAGTCAGTGTGTGATACTCTCATGCCTGTCATGGGTAACACAACAGATCACGCTGTTAATACTGAATCAAACTGAAACCCTCTATATTCATCTCAAAAAGCTGCAAGTTAAATGTGATTCTACAAAATAAAAAGTTAAAGTTAACTATTTTAACTATTTTCTACTTCCAGGAAAACAGTGAAAAAAGTGTTTTCTAGTAAGTTAATGGATCCTTGGTAACAGCCATTTCCAACAGAACAGATCCTGAAATTAAATTATGTAACTTCCTAGACAATAAGACCTCATCCATTAGGAGGCTTAGGGTGTATTCATGGGGGAAGGAGTTTACACCATGTGATAGATGGTTACAAATTCTTTCCCTTGTTGCATCTACACCCTTACAATATAATGCTGCAGCTCCTCCCACCAAGAGTCAGAACCTGCTTCTTTACCCCTTGAATCTGGGCTGGTCTTATCACTTGCTTTGAGCCACAGAATGTGGCAGAGGTAACGTGTAAGTTCCATACCTAGACCTCAACAGGCCTTGCAGCTTCCACTGTCTCCTTGATCTTGGAACCCACAGAGCCACCACCACCATGTGAAGAAGCCCAAGCTACTGCTGGCTGATGGGAGACACACAGCCCAGTTGTCCTGTGTCTCTCCGGCCCGCCAACCGCCTGCCAGTTGTCAGCCTATGAGTGAGACCCCTGCCGGCTGTCCAGCCAACTGCAGATGCACGAGCGAGCCAGCAGAGGTCAGCTGAACTGCCCTAGACCAGAAGACCTGCCCAACCAACCCACAGAAGTGGAAGCCAAATAACTGGTGGTGGTTCTAAGCCACTATCTTTTAAGGTGGTTTGTTACATAGCAATAGATAACTGATAAACTGTGCGAGTGGAAGAGAAAGAGCGCAGAGAAAGCAACAAAGAAAAATAAGAGAATAATCTCTGAATTGGTCAGTAAATGTTAAAACACCAGTAAGGTCTTTCATGTGAGACGGTATTGTCCTTCATGGCAAGAGAACGCAACAATTTGCTGGGAAAGTCACTGGGAAAACACTGAGGGATAAAAGGAACTCCTTCCTACTGATGGATTTAGTTCCTTCAAATTGCTTCCCACTATCTAATGTCCTCACTCCCTTTCCCCCTTAGAATGTAATAAGGCCCTCAGGTCAGGGGCTTTGTTAAATGCCTAGAACAGTCTTTGGCAGACTGTAGGTGTTGGATGAAGGGGTGGATGAAAGAATGGATCTAAAGGAATTCTCACCAGAACTGGAGCTCAGGAATCTGCTGATGAATCTAGCTCAATCTCACACAGCTCTCTGAAGTTGGGTTCCAAGGTTGACTTGGCAGCTGTAGGTACCCTGGGTCTCTGTGGGACATGCCTCAGGACTTTGACACTTTGAGGGCCAAGAAGACCACTGAGGACTTCAGGAGGGGTCCGTGAACCAAGATCGACTTGGAAATATTCCTGCCATTGCTAAGAGATTCACTTTGGGGTGTTCGAGAATTAAAACAATATCAACGGTAACACCTACATTAACCGAGCTGGGTTTTTTTTTTTTTTGTCTGCGTTGAGCCTGTTGCTGTGCGCAGGCTTTCTCTAGTTGCGGCGAGCGGGGGTTACTCTTCATTGCGGTGCGTGGGCTTCTCGTTGCTGTGGCTTCCCTTGTTGCTGAGCACGGGCTCTAGGTGCATGGGCTTCAGTAGTTGTGGCGCACGGGCTTAGTTGCTCCACGGAATGTGGGATCTTCCCAGACCAGGGCTTGAACCTGTGTCCCCAGCATTGGCAAGCGGATTCTTAACCACTGCGCCACCAGGGAAGTCCCTTAACGGAGCAGTTTTTACTGTACATCTTGACACTCACCGTTCCCTCATCCTCCATTTTTTTTTTTTTTTTTGCATTGCCACAAAGAATTGCCATAACCAAGTGAAAAATTGCTCTGTACATATATATTTTCCCCAACTACTTATTATACAAATAGTCTTTACTATTGAAAATGTTTCAAGAGACTAATTGCTTGACCTAGGTCTATTCTTTTAGTTTCAGTTAGAGATGAAATTACCCCTGAACTCTACTTGCATGAAATTTATTCCAATATAAAAACATACTGGTGAAGGTGTGGGAAGAGGGTCCAGGAAAAGAGGGTTATGGAAGAGCAGGGAGACCTATCTCTGAACAGATATTAATTTCTCGGAAGCTATTATGTCCTGAAGTACACTTTCCATGGTCTCTGTAGCCCTTTAGAATCTGAATCTGGTCCTTCAGGCATTAGGGGGCTCACACCTGACAAGCTAGCACAAGTATCACTAAGAGAGAACATCTGTTTTTACCACATGCTCATTGACTGTTCACAAAACACATTTTCAGTATTTATTTCACATCACCAAATACAGATGTGAAACAGATGTGTCTTGTGACATTCTTTGAGATAAATGAAACTGATTATCAAAAGGAAGTTGAAAAGAACTGGACAGGAGGGGTAGAACAAATACATGCCTTAGAGCCACACACAGATCAGGGTCTAATACCAGCTCTGCCACTAACTACTGACCTCGAGCAAGTGACTCAACCTAAGCCTCAGTTTCTTCACAGGTAAAATAGGGACAGTAAAAGAACCTACCTCGTAGGGCTGTTGTGAGGACTAAATGAACTAATGAACATGTTGTACTTCTGGAGACATCACATATCTATAGACTATAGTTGACAAATGCACAACTGTTCCCTCACTGTCCTCCATAAATACTTGCCCGCCCCTTTTTTCTGACTGTACCACACGGCATGCGAGATCTTAGTTCCCCAACCAGGGATCAAACCCATACCCCCTGCACTGGAGGCATGGCATCCTAACCACTGGACCGCCAGGGAATTCCCGCTTGCCTTTTGTATACAAAGCATTAACCATTTCCAGAAAAGGATCTAGAAAACCAACTGTTCGTAAGATATATTCACAAAAATTATTTGAAACCAATGTCATTCAAAGCTAAGCATTACAAAGAAAGATTTGTACTTATCTTTTCCCTAATGTCAGAATACTCCAGACTCTAGGTAGCGCCTGCCTAACA